TCTTTGGGTCAATAAGTCAGAAGCCAGTTAGGAAAAAGAGAAGTAATAATGATCCAGACTGGGGATCCCTGGGTGGCTCAGTGGTTTAGCGCCTGCCTTTGGCCCAGGGCGTGATCCTGGAGTCCCGGGATCGAGTTCCACGTCAGGTTCCCGGCATGGAGCCTGCTTCTCCCTCTGCCTGTGTTTCTGTTTCTCTCTCTCTCTCTCTCTCTCTCTCTCTTTCTCTCTTTCTTTCTCTCTCTCTCTCTCTGTCTCTCATGAATAAATAAATAAAATCTTAAAAAAAAATAATGATCCAGACCTTGTAGGGAACTGAGGCAGTGTCTCTGATCAATTATGCGATCTAACAGAATGAAGAGGGGAAAGAAAATGAAGGCTTAGTAGCCTACTGAGAAATTTTGGAGGAAAAAAAGATATGTGAATATTTCTCTAGGACACTTATTTTTCTTTTTTAATGCCTTCAGTCAAACTTCTCTAGTTTTTACTTCTTATCCTTTGCTATCCAAAGGGCTTCTTCCTTATGTCTATAAATTGATTTTTGTGAGGGCAGTATCTATTTATATTCATGTTTGTTTAGTGCCTAAGTTCATGCCTGGTATTTACTGAACTTTGTAATAACAGTGAGTATGAGAACTTTTTGACTAATTACAAATAAGTACTTTCTGAGTTATTGTGGGAATTTGTTCATACCATGCCCCTCAGTCCTTGAATTCTGGACAAACTAAAACAACTTAGGTGGTGTTCACAATTCTGTTTCCTCAACTCATGCTTCTCCACATGCTTTAAAATCATTCTTTACAAGCATAAAGCTTATCTAACCATCTTATTCCTTTTGTACGATTTACAATTTTCTTTGAAACTTTTGTTTTTATTTTTAGAGGTGATTTAACATATAAGATAACTTGTAAGTATCAGGCCAACTCATTTGTGTTGCTTCAGTTTAGAAAAATGCTAGCACCAAGTTCTCTTGCTGCCAAAGCATAGATTTCATGCTGTTCATAGTCGTTCCTACCAAGGGGACAATATGTACTCAATTGCCAACACGCCATTGGGACTCCTGACAAAGGAATTTTATTATGCCCACTTTCAGTTGGATGCAGTGAAACTCTTGCCAGGGGCACGGCAGTGGCTACTGCTCATGGCCCAGAATTGCTGTGTGGTCAGGTCAGGGCTTTTTTCTTAATACTCACTGGGTCAGACTTTCTTGTGGGTTTGTGTGTGGGAGGCAAGGCAGACACTGTGTGTCAAGGACAGGCCCTCTGCCTCTTGTTTAGGGAAATTACTGCCACATGAAGGAGGGCAGGAAGCCAGGGGCTGTCCCAAAGCATTTGCCTTCGGATAATTTGCCTCCTCTCTTGTGAACAAGAGCACTTATGCTAGGGCTCGAGAATTGTGTTCCTGGAACATGAGCTCCCTGCTGCCAGCCTCTCCCAAGTTGAAAGCCAGGCATCTTTGGATGCCACATTAAGTCATGTATTGTAACCAGATTGCCTGAAGGGATTCAGCTATCATCGAAAAGGTTGCCTAGAGGGCACTTGACAGGATGAGCACTGGGTGTTATGCTATATGTTGGCAAATTGAACTCAAATAAAAAAAATATATACAAAAAAAAAAAGGTTGCCTAACTAAGCTCTGTGTTTAAGTTTATCAATCTAACTTAGGCCTAAATGTTTCCATCAAATCTAATCATCCCTTCTTGAGCATATAGAATCATTCCAGTAGGAACTGTAACTAATAGTACTAATTCAGTGTGAATTGTATATACGTTCCTGTTCAAACTGAAAATAACCCAGAAATGGCTGTTAGTGTCCTTTAAACAATGGTAAAAGTATAAATTCATGTCAAAGATACCCCATGCATGTTGTGAAGACTGACGAGATCCAAGATCTTTGATTCCACTTTCAAACTCACCAATTATTTATGTATGAAAATAATCACCTCATTGGTTGAAAATCATAACTTTTAGTTGAGAATTTAGAGTCATCTGATGAGACTGAAAAGTATCTCTTTGGAGAAGAAATCAGGTGGGATGTCTGGGTGGCTCAGTTGGTTGAACATCTGAGTCTTGATTTTGGCTCAGGTTAGGATCTCAGTGTCATGCGGTTAAGCCCTGAACTGATTTGGATTGTGGCTTAGGGGGGAGTCTGTTTGAGATTCTCTCCCTCTCTCTCTCTGTTGCTCTCCTTCTACTAGTACTCTCTCTTTCTCTCAAATAAGTAAATCTTTAAAAAAAAGAAAAGAATAGAAAAAAGAAAAGAAATCAGGCAGTTCTCAATGTCTTTGTGACCAATGCTTCCATCCTTAGGTGATTTGATTTTAAAAAGGTAAAGGAGCAACAATAATCAGAAAGACTGCATTACTAGAAGAATCTTGAAATTAAGAAAGAGCTATGTGGAGGATTTCTGCTGCTAGTAGAGAATAATTTCTTCTGCCTTTGCATTATTCATCTCATGTAAATTTTGATAAAGTTCATCACTGTGATTATTATTTCATTTACCATATTTTATGTGTTTATAGCACAATTTCCACAGTAGGATCTTTTTCTTTCCAGATTAACATAAATATGTGTATTCTTGATGGAAAAGGGAACCTTTTTAGAAGCAGGTACTTGACACACATGACCCTAGCTCACTGCATTCGGAATTTACTGCAATATGACCATCTCTACCATGAGGTCTAGAAGTGGGCTTTTTAGGCTATGATATCTATACATCATGTACTTAATGCACCTACAACAATGAATACCTACTGCAAACACCAGGTGGTATACAGATGATTTAATATGCTCACAACTACCCTGTGAAATGGGAATAATAATCCTAAATTTTGTGACTGGGATTCTTGGGCTCATTGACTTCCTCAAATTTGCATGGCTACTAGAATGGAAGAGCCAGGATTCTCTCTGTGAACCAGGGTTCTCTGATGGTACAGTCTGTGTTCTTTTTACAACCACATTCAGTACAGGGAATTCAGCCTCTTTGAAAGAAATCTTAGATTCAGAAGGGACCAAAATGAGGATATGCCTAGTTGGGATGACATTGTCTGACAGTATCCTGAAGTTGTTCCATCAACCCCCTTGGAACTCTCCTGACTGGATTGGTATCATAGATTCATTCAATGTCAGCATGGGGAAGAGGCTCAAAGGTCATAACTCCCAAGAGGCCACCTAGCCTGTACTGGATGCTGCCTAGGTTCTCTGGAGGCAGGCAGTCCATTCTTTCTTGGGACGGCTCATAGGAAGTTATTCATATTCATGCAGAATAAGCTATGGAATAAGCCTAATCCATCTTCTGCATAACAGTCCTTCAGATATTTGAAGGGAATTCCAAATTTCCTCTATTTTTTGCTAAGCAGTCCCAGTGCTTTCAACTGCACTCTGTAGGATATGGTTATATTTCTTTTTTGACCTGATATTCTCTTTCCTGAGTCCTGTGCAGTCTTCTAAGGTAGCATCAATAACTAAGTACAATGCATTGGGATTGATTTAACCACTGCAGATGGGAGTAGGACTGTCATCTAGGAATTTTACATTTGCCAGCCACACAACGTATTGTGATTTCATTCTAACTGAACCTCCTTCACACTATGCCCTCACTCCAAGAGCTGCAGGTCTCAATCTCCATCCAAACCCAAAAATTCTGAAATCTTGCCATAGCTTCAGGAAAGAACCCTTGGAGAAGATAGTCAAAGTGCATGTATTTATTTCCAGGAAAACAGGCAAGGAGATGGAAAGGCAATTTTTAGCATTGTGCCTGAGCATTAACAGGAATAAGGTGTGGAGTGATTGGTCAGAAGTAAATGAATAGAGATTGTATTTCTCAAATGTCTAAGAGATATTAAGAGACAAAAAGCAGTGCTTCTTCTAACCAACTGTGATTCCTAAGTAAGGGTCAATGATTTTGCTCATCTGTTAGTTCTTGCAGTACCCTGGGACATAATTCATCATGGCCAGGATAGATTTGCTATACACAGGAGTTATCCTTCTAACCTGCCATGTCCATAGGTATGTGAAGATCTAGGATGAAGCTGAGAGAATTATATCCTGCTGATTCATACTCAGGAGGTGGGGAATATATTCTTTGTGTCTTTTAGAGCACAGGTGTGGGTATTATTGCACAAAATGAATTTTCTGTTTCTTTTGTAAATATGTAAGATGATAAAGAATGATTTTCAAAAGTATAAATTTAATACACAAATAGTATATTATGTTCCATTTCAATAAGTAAAAATTTGTGTGAAAATGTAACGAGATATTTATTTGTTGCATTCAGTTTAGGTATTCCTAATAGACAGCTGTAGGGATAATCAGTACTGCCTGGATCAGATTTGAATTAGTGACCTAGTTTGTAAAACCCCCTGTTCCATGTTCAAAAAGCATATCACTGTATTTAAATTTCTAGTACATTTAAAGGTAAAACAAATCATATTTTCATTTTAAAGGATTGTTAATCTTATATGCATCTTTCAACAATTTAAGAATAAATGGAAGAAAAAGTTTTAAAAGTGCTTTAGGACATCTGAATTTGAGATGTAAACATTTTCTCACCTACTTATATATATGTGTGTGTGTGTGTGTGTGTGTTATAATGTGTGTGTGTGTGTATTTGATCTCTTCAAAGATGTGTTTACAGATGAGATAGCATAGGAAGGCATACAAGCACCTGTTTTGCATTTGCAAATTTCAACAGATATTTTATGTGAGGGTAAAATAATTGGGAATTTTTTTAATTCCCATTAAAAAAAAAACTGATATATCCTGAAAAAAGCCTGTAATGTTTCCGTGTCTGGACTTGCCAAAAATGCCCATATTTCCCACCTTCTCAACATAAATCAAACTCCTATATTCTGTGCACAAGCACCCATGTGCAGAAAAATTCTGAAAGAGAAAATTCGTGAAAGACACAGAACAAAGAAAGAGGAGTCCTTTAACTGTAAAGCTGTAATTTATTGTCTTTAGAATTGGTGTAAGGGGCCTCTCTCTTTTTGTTCTTTTCTTGTAGGTCTCTAAGTCCACTGCTGACAGGAAAATCTTCAGTGGTTCCAGAGACAAGCTGCTGGAAATCCTGCACATTTATCTTCTAGAAGGAAGTAAACTGATTAGGATAGTGGTCCCTTTAGAAAGAACCTCCCCTAAAACTTTAAAGGACTCCAAATTAAGCCATGTCCATATCTGGGACCCTAAAGTGGCTCATAAAAGTTAGGGACTGCCTGCTTAATGTTAGGTGATTGCAAAAGCTTTAAGATTCAAAGGGGGGAGTGAAGGTGGGGAAGGTGATGGTGAATAAATTGTGAGAGCCTCCCAAATAACAGGATGTCTCTTTAATTCCAAGCCTCATGTTCTATCTCATATTGTATCTTTCAATTAAAAAAAAAAAGGAAAATATGTCTTCTTTAGAAACTTTTTTCTCTATTAATATTCAGTACTTAATATATGAGTACAGATCTGTCATTCATTAGATCTATGTAGATCACAACCTAATTTACAAATTCAAAAGCCTAAGTCAGATCAACTCAATGGCTCAAGGCCATGTATTCTTAAGAGTATGCACTGAACATTTCCTGTCCTTGGACTGGTGTACTAGGTGATGCTGCTTTTCTGTAAGAATTTGTATATATTGGATTTAACACAATTTTGCTTATCAGTTGCAAACACTAACCTATACCCACTCATGTAATATAAAGTATAAAATTATGTCAATGAATCTAGAAAATTCAGGGCAAAATAGTTTAAATCATTTGGATCTTCCTAAACATTCTGATTTCTATTTAACCTGAAAAAATAGGTAATTACTCAATAGCCATAGCTCTAAAATGTATCTGACAGGTTATTTTTATTTGTTTGGTTTTCAGAAATCATATCCATGCTTTCTACCCTCTGTAGTTTTTAGCAAAATGAATCAAAGCCACTCTGTACCCAAAGATAACACCAGTGTTGTCTTTTTTTTTTCTTCTTAAACATTGCAGGGCTTTACCTCAAGTGCTATGCAGTAAATTTACAGGGAAAGAAAAATTTTATTAAATTATAACTGAGAGGAGCTGATTTTTTTTTACATAGCAAACAAAAAATTCCTTCATGAAAGGCTATAAAACCCATATTATTTACCAGAGAGACCTTTCCTGTCTCCCAGGTAAACACTTACAGTGTGTAGACTTGTGTAAATACATATTTAGGAGTGGCTAAATATGGCGAGGTATTTTTAAAGGCGTATTTACAAAGCTGAATACATATATTGGCATTTTGGTATGTGTAAGTTGTGTATGCTGCTCTGCTGTCTATTCAAAATTCTAGTAGGACTCTGGTAGATACACCTTGGATATAGGGACTGAGTTTCAGAACATTCATCTTTAATCAAAATTACTAAGGACAGGTCCTTAGATCATTTCAAAAGGGTGAAAATTTTCAACTAATGGAGTTCAGGTCTTTCTTGCCAGTTTGACTTGAGGAAAATTGTTTCAGAAATGCAGGCATCATTTGCGGAAGCAGATCTCCTTTCTGAATATCTTTGTGCATAAAATAACAATCATTTCACATTCAGCTCAGAATATTACCAAATACTTAAAGCTACAGGTCCATATGATGGATGGGTCAACCATGAAATTTTAGTGAAGGGGGAAAATGTCATTAAGATATTTTAAAAATACTTTAAACACATTATTTTTAAAATACCTTAAACATATTATTTTTAAAATGCTTTAAAACACATGAAAATGTAAGTGACAAAATCTGCTTGTTGCTAATTAAATGGCAGGGAGCTTCCTGTGATAATATAGTGAAATTCCATCTAGAGGACTCCTGATGTCCATATTGCTTCTTTGCTTCTCGGGAAGCATGTCTGTGAGGAAAAGAATGTGATGGTAACAGAGATTGTAGATGCATGAAAGAACATTACCTCTGCTTCTGCTGTCTGCAGCACCTCAGAATGAATAAGGATCCCATTTATGTAAAAGCTTTTTTAAGATAGACAAGTTGAGAGTCCAAATAACTCCAGAGCTTGGGCTCTCTCAGGGGCCTTTGGCTAAGGAGTCTAAACAATGCTTCTGTTTCATTTCTAATGCAGCACACAGCTATTTCTAAATGCTCTCAATATCCTGCAATGGAATAATTGAAAATCTTATTATGGTAAACCATATGGGGACAAAGATTATTCAATCAGTGAAATGATTTCTCCAATAAAATTTGCACTGGCCTGAGTTTTTTAACTTTGCAAAAATACACATCATATGTACATATTTTTCCCAAGGTACCAACACCACAGATTTTGGTTAAACCTGCTGGGATCTAAAACTTTAGATTTAAAAAGAAAAGAGAGAGAGAGAGAAAGAAAGAAAGTTTATTTTTAAAATAATGTGACAGTGTTATAAGGCCTCTGGAATGGAGGAGCTTTGAATACACGTGCTGACACAATTTTAGCTTTAACTGTGAATGGGTTCTCTCTATTCATATTACTTATAGACCGGTGTTTTAGACTTGGAAAACAAGCTTTTTCTGGCAAAAGACAATCCTCGTTTCAGAATTTTAAAAAATATATAAGCAGGCACAAACACCTTTGCATTACAATTTTTTTTATTAGTTTTACCCCATCCTTAATATTATTCTGTGGCTAAGTATCTCATTTCCATGTAAACTTCCATTAGGAACACAAATTGCTGACACCACATCTACTGACAGAAATGCCACAACATAAATTATGCCAAGAAAATGCTGCTTTGGGTGGGGGGCATGGCAGGGGGAACTAAGCTAGATAAAAAGCCACTGTGCTACTGCCCGGCCTGCAACCCTGTCCCGCTGACCACTGATAAAATTTATCACAGGGCCACATACGGGAAGGCAGCTTAAAGAAGAGACATCTGTGGTAAAACGTGTAACAGCAAAACAGCTAATGGAGCATTATTACTTTATTGGAAAGCAATATCTCTGGGTGCTTCACTTTTCTAGCTTTAGCAAGTCTAGGAATTGTTCTTCTATATGCAGAGGAGCTGATATGGAAAAAAAAAAAAGGTTATTAGAACTCTGAATGATGGCAATAGGCATTTCCAGGACTCACCAGTTTGTCACTCTGCCCAGTACACTTACCCAGCAAAGGTGTGAATGAGTTCCACCAAAGTTAAAAACCACTCGGAATTTTCATTCTTAAAGGAATGCAGATCTGTAATACTAATGGTCTCTTTGTAAAGAACCAGTGTTGTAAATTCCTAGCTAATGGTTTATCTTAATTCAGTCCTGGCATTAGTAGAAGATAGAAACATCCAGATTCCGCTAGTAGAAAGAGTCTCATTTACCAAGAGATTTAATAACTTTGTCTTTGGGTGGGTCTTATTCTTTTGGGGTTTAAAAGAATGAGTCTGGCATGCAGTGGACAGTCACAACTGGATGGCTAGAATGGTTACAGAACAAAATGATCAGGTAGTGTGCTGCTTTAAACGCCAGTGAAGACAGCATTTCAAAGCCCAATTGTGTCACCTGTTGCTGGAAAGAGGGAGAATGACATCACCAAGATGGCGATCTAGATTGTTCCTGACTCCATGCCTCCTCACAAGAACAGGTAACAACTATTTGTGAACCAGGCACTACTGAGAGAATCCTAGCAGTTGGGGGTGAGGCTGAAGACCCCCTTCATCACAGAGAGCCAGACACACTGCATTAGAAAGGTAAGAGAAGCAGCTACCCAGCGACTGCATTGCTCCTCTGCCATTGCTCCTCTGGCAGGTGGGTGCGGCACCAGGCTGAGAGGCCTCACCTGAGCCTCCAGTAGGGAAATGACTGGCAGAGCCGAGGATTTTGTTATCGTCTCTGTTGCTCATCAGCTGTCTTAAAACATACGTAATTGGATATGCAAGGAGCCACATATTTTGCCCCTCCTACGCAAGATGTCTCTCCACCTCTGAGCTTCGACCATTCCTACGTGTTCTTTGAGGAAGTCAGGGATTTTGGACAGACTGCCTTCAGTTAATGTAAGAGAAACTGCATTGCTCCCTAATGGGGGGGGGGTCCTATTATGCTAAATGTGATAATAACTGCAGAGCACATTGGTAATAGAGCAAAGTTTTCATCTTTACTGTCAACCTCAAGCAGGGAGCCTCATATCAATCTTTTTTTCCCCCTTTTTGTCAATTGTTAATGCCATGTTTATATAACCCCTTTAGGTAACTGCTTATGTACCTAGACTCTGCAGTTTCCTGGGTTAATATTTCATGTTTACTACCTGCAGTTTAAAGCAGTACTTTATTTTATTTTTCCTAAATACATCTCATTCAAGCTGTAAGGGAAATTATTTTAATATCTAAATCACCAGGATTTGGTGAATAATAATAGCTACTGTTTATTGAATGCCTAATACATGCTAGGTACTGTTTAGGAGCTTTCTATGTATTAACTCATTTAGTTCTCAAAAAACTCTTAAGGAAATAATGACTATTTTCTTCATTTTATGAAAATGGAATTTGAGGTTTAGAGAAGTTGGTACTTTATTCCAGCTCCCATAGCTGGTAGATTCATTCACTGGAATATAGTATTTTGGGTATTATCTGTAGATGATGAATTTTTTTTTCCAAATTACAACTTATGGACAGTATAAAACAGGCTATTTTACTTTGTTTTTCATGGATGCAGTAAATAGCCTATAGTATTATGCATAAGAGTGTGTGGAGGTATGGGCTACTGGCTGTTTTTTACTATTAACAGAGGGACTTCCAGAAAGTCCCTTAACCTCTTTGGGCCTAAAGTACCTCAGGTATGAAAAATAATCCCTTAGCCGAATGAAGACAGAGGGATGATCATTTGGTCTTTATAGATTCCTTATGGGTTTTAAGATGTTGCTGACAAAATGACAAAGGAGAACAGTCATGGATACAGAGCCAAGCCACCCCAAATCTACCTGTCTCTGACATTGGTCTTGCTACTATAGTCAACAATATAATGTAGTTGGTTGAAAAAAACTGCTACTTTATATAAATAGACAAAGCAACCTAGAAGAAAAGGGAAACAGGTTATGAACCTACAAAGAACACCCATTAGATGGCATTAGCAACAGCTGACTCTGTAGTCTTAGTGTGCTCACCAAGTGTCTTTGAGAGCCTCTGTTTAGAAAATGGAAGAAGAAATTGATGATGGAACATTTAGCTTCTGGAGCCAAAATGGATTATTAATTGTTTTTAATGAGTGAGGAATGTAGACTTCAGGGTACCTGATTTCTAGTTGCATATATTGTTTCTGGAAAAAAAAGACTCCATGCCAGCTTTTATTGCAAAAAACTAAAGCTAATTTAGGATATTGAAGAAAGGTTCTGATAGATAAGATTGATGGTTATTACTGAGAAAGCAAAAAAATCGCTCCTTCACTAACATAAGAGGGAGATGAGACTAGGAGGTAAGAGAGCTAGA